CCCCTGGCAGACTTCCGAGGGGCGCGCCCAGGGGGCCTGGCGCGGACGCGTCTCTCGTGGCGCGGCAGTGCCTCCGTGGGCCAAGGCCCACGCGCAGTGGTGGCGACAGGCTGGGGCACCATTCTCTGGAACGTCCTCTGCGCGGGCGCGCCGGACGGGGTCTCAGAGCCAGGGCTGATGACATAGTTGCTCCTGGTGGTTTTAACCGGTCAGATGTTTCGGTTATCGCGTTGGCGATCTTGGCATGCGTCGTGACTGCCGATCCACGCTGCATCGTTGGGGCCGGACTGGCAGCGTCGGTGGTGGTAACGCCCATCCCCTGCTCGCAGCGCTCGGTCTCGGCCCGCGAGAGGTGACCAGCGCTGACTCCCAGTGACTTTTTGACAGGGGGTCCGTGGGACTGTCGAGCGCACAGGCGCAGCATCCATCTTGTCTTCATTCGGTGCGGGCCCCGCTTTCGGGATTTTGTGATTCAACTGCCGTATCCCCACCATGATGCTGGCAGCTCGTGAGGCCGCTCAGGCCAGGGCATCAGCGGCCATAATTAGCTGGTCTTTGAAAGTAAGCCGAAAGTCATAATGATGGAGGCATGGACAGTCTGGGGGACACTCCAGGTAGAATTTATCCACCACCCCCAGTGGATCTGGGCTTAACAGCTGCAGCGGCAATTGGTCTTCCAGGCAGAAGAGCAGGCATATGGCAGCAGCTTTGGGAACAATTTGGAATAACCAGGCCGCCATGCCACGCTTCATCGACATGGTCGGCAATGTCGCTTGGATGTGCATCTGGAAACCTTGATGCGACGGGCGTTGGGCATATTATCTCATGCTCAGTGGATCGCCTCGCACCCACTCCCAGATCGCACTTTTCAGGGCCTCCACGGCTATGGCATGAGACTGATACACCCTGGGGAGTTCTCGCTGCAGAACTTCATGAATGCCCGCGCCCCGAGGCAGGGGGCGCCGCGCGCTGGCCCAGTTCTGTCGCGCGTGCGTTGCAGAGCTGACATTCTCACGCCATGCGCACGTGAGTCACGGGCTACACACTACGTGCGTGTCACGCGTCATCTCCCTCATTACTTCGGGCTTCAGGTTGCAAGCGCTCGGCAGGAGTTGGTTCGTCGGCTGAAGTTGCGCGCTGGGCGTCCGACTGCGTTCTTCGCGCTCCTCTTGCGCTTGGAAGCGCTTCTACAGGCGCCCCTGTCTTGGGCCAGTGGCCGCGCTTGCCACGTCCGTGCTCGTTGGCCGCCTGCACCGCTGCTGAATTGTTCTCGGACCTTCTATAGCGACGCCCGTTTTGAGACGAGAGTGCGCCGGGACATCGTCTGCGAATTCAGAGCGGCGCCCCCGCGCCCCCCCCCCGCCCCGCCGCCCCGCCGCCCTGCGTCACATTTCGTAGAGGTGCTTGAGGCCGCGGGGCTCCAGCGGACCGCGCGGCCCGCCGGATTAATTACTCGCAACCGCACCTGTGGGTTGGTTCTCCACTTCCGCCCTCACTGTGCTAGGGGGCCCTGGCAGCGGGACCTGCTCCGTTTCGCAGGTCGATTGCGCTGGACAGTTCGTCGCGAACCCGCGCGGCTTGGAAAAGTGCATGTGCAATTTGCATGTGAAAGTGCACCAGCCCGCGCGAGCGCCGCCTTGCATGGGGGGCGGTTGGGGCCACAGGTGGGGCGCATCAGCGGGGGCGCGCGCGCCCTGCTCGCGGCGTTGGGGGCTCGGCCGGCGAGAGGTGGCTGACGCCGACCCCCGGTGGCTGTTTGGCAGAGGGCCCTTTGGGACTGACGGGCGCGCAGGGGCAGCGTCCATCTTGTCTTGGTTCGGCGCGGGCCCCACTTTCGGGGTCTTGTGGTTCAAAGTGCGCATCCCTGGCACGCTGCCGGCAGATGACGCTGCAGCTCGTGCCGGCGCAGCAGCGGCCATGGCAGGTCCTGAGGGTCAGCTGGGAGTCAGAGGAATGGGGGCGGGTTGGCAGGCGGTCCGCGGGATCGACAGGCGCATGGTAATATCGCATGATATCGCCCATCATCCATCTTGCCTTGATTTGGCGCGGGCCCCGCTTTGGAGGTGCGCCCCTGCGCGGCAGCCCTCGCTCCGCGGGCCCGCGCCACTCCGACCCGCGCGGGGCTCTCCAGTGCGCCTCTTCGTTCGGCGGCGGCCCCCGCCCGCGCTCCGCCGCTGGCCGGCGCAATCGGGGCGCGCTACCGCAGCGGCGAGCGTCTGCATCTGCGCGCCGCTGAGCACTCGCCATCGCCGGGAGAACCTCGGCGTGACTTGGGCCGAGCGCGCGACGGCGGACGGCGGCTGCAACCTGGGCTGAACCTTCGAGACCGTGAAACTGACGTCCCGCGCGGCGCGAGAGAGACAGAAGGGAGTCCAGTGGCGGCGCCGGTCTGCGGGGCCGCGGGGGCGGACGGCCCGCTCGATCAGATCCTGCCCAAGGGGGGGCGCGCCACTGCAGAGGGGCTGCCAGGAGACCGCTGCGAACGCGCGCCGCTGGCGCGCTGCCCTCGATGGTCGGCGCCATCGCGATCCCGCAGATGTCAAATCATCATGCGAGTGGACATAGGCCCATGGCGGGTCCTACTGCCGATGCAAGGTGCCGCACTCACCATGGAGGGCGCCTCCAGTGCGTCAAAGTTGCGGTGGCCTGATGTTGCCTGGTGGGCGGCGGATGCGAGCGCGTCGCGGTCGCCGTCGCGACGGGCGCAGGAGTTGCTCGGGAAGTGGACCGAAGTGCGCGCGGCGAGCGTCTCGGCGCCAGAAGTGGGTGCGGGCGCCGCAAGAAGCCATCGCAGAGTGCCCGAGCCAGAGAGCGCCCCAAGTTTCTCGCCAAGGGGTGTCCGGGTTTCTTCGACGAGGGCTCCGCGCAGTCGGGCAATTTGGCCTGGTCAGTTTCTTCCCGTGCCGCCCTGGGAAATTCGCGGCCAACGCCTTTTCCCAGAAACCTTGCAGTCAGTGGATTATTCGGCGAGTGAGGCTTCTATTTCGGTGGGTTCGTCCGCGTTGATTGTAACGGAGATTCGAACACCCGCGCTGGGCATCGCACGCAGTGCTAGAGCGCGCGGCGCGGGCTGCTGTAACGCTCGCAGCGCTCGCGCTCTGTGCAAATGCAATTCTGGGGCGCGCGCAGCGGGCTTCTGGAAGGCTCGCGCTCGGTGCCAGTATTGTGATGGAGCGCGCGCCGCGGGCTGCTGGGCCGCTCGCGTTCCGGTGGGATTTTCGACGCTTCGCGTGGCCCCGCCAGCCCATCTGGAAACCTCTTGCGCCCACCTTGGGGGTCTCGCGGGGCCCGTTGTCGCCCTGGAGGGACTCTCGGGGCCATTGGATACCGTCGATCAAAAAGGGGGGAGGCTGCAATTGGCGCCCCCCCTCGGTGGCTGAAACATTGCATCTCGGGGCCTCTTCTGAGGTGTTCTCGGGCACCTCTTGGGCGCTGTTGGGGCCGCATGGGCCCCTCTCGGGGCTATCCGGGGCCGCGTTGCGGACATCTCGAGGCCTCAGGCCAAGGGGAGACGAAAAGGCGACAGGGCAAACACATCGCAGAACGTCTAGGGTTTTGGGTTTTGGAAGGATTCGCGCCTCTGGGGGGGCGTTTTGCGGGTGCTCCGTGGCCTTTGGGGCCCGCGTTGGAGCGGTCTTGGGCCTCTCGGGGGTGCGCGGACTTGAAAGGGGGTCTCCGCGGGGGACATCAGCGCGCTCCTCGGCCGTTCGGCCTAGGCACGCATGCCCGATTTGACCGCTGATACCTTACCAGTGCAACTTGAGAGGAAAAGGATACCGATCCCTATCTTCACCCCATTAAGTCTCATGCCATTTACGTTCCTGTATACTGCGACGATGCACCACGTGGCGTTACCACGTTGCTTCCGACTTTGTAGCGGAGCTGGCCACACTCACGTGCGGTTGGCTCCCAGATTCGGTCTCGACCTATTACTCTACGGCGCGATCCTATCGGCCCTGCTGATACTTCCAACTATGAGCCCGCACTCCATGCGCAACTCCGCGGATTTATTCGAGCTTGGAGACAAGCATAACAAAGCAGAGCCGACCCGAGAGTTTTTTCGGTTTGAAGTATTTCCCCTGTGAAGGTAACCTTCACAGGGGAAATCTTTCAAACCGAAAACATAGTTTCAATGGTCAAGTATTTCAAACCACACAGACCTGCTTATCCTTCGAAAGAAGAGTTTGACAACTCACGCATGCAGAATCATGGTGTAACGCAGCGCGGACACGCGCTCTTCCTTCAGCCACCTCGGCTGGGCAAGGTTCCCGACGTGCGCTTGAGCAGCGCCCTTCAAGACTGAATGTGGCAGGGCTGGTTATCTACACCACCATACGCCTCAGCATTGGATCCGCCATCGGCTACATGTGCAAAGACAAAGGAAACAACTGCGACTCCACTCCCCCGTATTGGGACCCAGCCAGGAACGTCCCTTTTCGGGAATACGTCTTTGAGGTAAGCGCCTGCTTTGTACTCGCGGGTTCTCGCGTAACCCCGCAGCAGGACGCCTCGCGCAGGGAGGCAGAGTGTGTGCAGGGACTCGTGAGGACCGGACTTGGGGCGGGAGGGTGCATTGCAGCGATCGCCGTGCCTGCAGCAAAATGTGCATTGCAGCATCATTGGTACATTTTGGGTGGTTTACTCTGGTTCTCCTCCTCCCCTTCCTGACGTCCCAGTGCGCATTGCCCAATCTCGAAGAGAGCCATAATGTGGCTGTGATAAAGAGAGGCCATGGTCCCTCGCGACAGGGCCCGCCCATCGAGGTTCATGAGGCCAATTCGGAGGATTTGTGTCCATAATTTTCCCCCGCGTGTCGATGGTCGTCGTCGTCGTCGTCGTCGTCGTCGTCGTCGTCGTCTGTTTTCACGTCCTTAACATCCTTAATGTCCCCGCCCTGGCGGCCCCGTGGCGGCGCCCTCGCCGGCCGCCGCCCTTGCAGCCTCCGTCTCCGCCGCCGCTGTCGTGGCCGCCGCCGCTGTCGTGGCGCGGCGGGCGCGAAGGTGCTCACCGTTGTCAAGGGCGCCCCCGACCGGGTGCTGAAGGTGTGCAGCAGGCGGGCGTGCGCCGGGCGGGGACCAGCGCGCGCCTTCCTGGGCCGCGGGGGCCGGGCAGGGCTGCTCCAGGAGGGCGCCAGGGGGGGGGGGGGGCGTGGGGCCGACCTGGCCCAGTGGGCACGCCGAGCGCCTGGCCGCGGGCTTGGGGGCTCCCCGCGGGCCGCCGCGGGTCCCAGAGGAACGACGGCCTGGAGCGGTGCTTGCGGGGAGTCGGGCTTGCGTTCTGGAGGAGGCGTCGGCCTCCAGGGGGGGGGGGGGGGCGGGGCAGCGAGGGGGCCCCCAGTCTGCGGTGTGGAGGCCCGACGCCCTTCCCCGACGCCCTCCCAGGGGGGCCCGATCCCCCAGCTTGGAGCCTCCGCGCCGGAGGCGGCGTCGAGATGGCCTGCTGGCGGCAGCTGGCAGGCGCTGACCTCCTCCTAGCCTGAGCGCCCCTCCGGCGCCCGCGGGCGTGGAGTGGCCGCGATGGCTTCGGGTGCCAGGGAAACGGGCGCTGCACCTTCCTGCCTGGGGTATGTGGGATCTCGGCGGCGGGGCCCGGCCAAGAGTCAGCAATGGGGTATCGGTTGCATGAGGCTCTGCGGCGTGTATTGTGGCGGCACGTCCGGAGTGGCTCGCAGATCCAGAAACACTCGGGGCGAGATGTGTTATCGGAGGCAGCGAGCAACCAGCAAGCCACGGGGGGACCAGCAGTCCAGCGGGTCAGCCGCCCGGTTGGTGCCGGCCCAAGGGCCCACCACACGCAGACTGCATCGTGCATGTCACACACGTTGTGTTGAGAATTTGGGAGTGGTCAATATTGTTACAGCAAATGTGCAAGGCATGAGTCACGTCAGAGCCGATTCTCGCCTGAAGTGGGCCGGCATCGTCGATGAGGCCAGGGCGGGGGATTGGGACATTACGCTGTTATCAGAGATGCATGCTCCAGATGACAATTGTGATTGTATTGTCCGTGTGGAGGAATACACTGTCGTTATTGCTCGGAGAGCTGCCATCATGCTCAGCCCCGCTGTCGCCAAGCTGTGGTGGGATCAGTACGTGGCGCCCACTTTTTCGCCGTCAGGCAGGGCTGTCGCATTACACATCGCCATTGGTGGTCGGAAGTATGCTTTTGTTTCTGTGTACGCTCCGCACGCCGAGCGGCCAGCATCTGAACGAGAGGCGTTCCGCGACGAGCTGACGACCCTCCTTGCCGCAATCCCTGCGGGGACGGCTCGCATTGCAGGGGGCGACTGGAATGCTTCCATTCATGCTGATATGGCTGCGCGGCTTGGCTGTGGTACTCGTCTGCTGCCCGGGAGCACGTCGTCGCACGCTCAGGACGTCCTGGGGTGCCTGAACGACAGTGGCCTGAGCCACCTGGACTCGCACCTGGCTACCAGGCACCGTGCGACGTTCCGCTTCCCTCAGCAGACGATGGCCGCGAACCGCTGGCGGGAGTACGACTACTTCGCCACGGACATGCCGTGCTCTGCTGGCCTCTGGTGCCAACTGCGGACAGGGGCCCTGCCGTTCGGGGACCACTTCTTCAAGAGGGTCCGCCTTCAGCTGCCGGCGGCGCCGGGGGCCAAGGAGCGACGTCTGGCAAGAGGCCCCCCGGGCACTGTCCAGTCTGGCTTCGGCGACGGAGCTCGGCATGTGGGCCCCATCCGACGCGAGTGGATGCAGGGCCCTTCCGCCGCAGCCACCGCGTTGAGGGAGCAGTACGCCGCGGCGGCAGACGCGGCACTGGACGCTCGGGGCGCGCCAGAGGACGAGATGGCCTGGGACGACCTTGCTGCGGTGCTCAGGGTCTCTGCTGCGGGCGTCGTCGGCCGCTCCGCGGGCGTCAAGGTTGAATGCCCGTTCGTCGCCCAGCTGCGCACGATTGGTCGTCAGAATGCCACTGAGCGGCGGCTGGCCTGGGATGCCGTGCGTCGCGCCCGGGGCACGCCTGGCGAGGAGGTCGCAGTGGCCGCTCACCGTGAGACTCGCAGGCGGCATCGGCTTGAGTACCGACAGGCCCGGGCACGACTCGTCAAGGAAGTGGCGGCCGACCTGACCCGGGCAGCGGCCGACAACGACACGGGAGCACTGTACCGAGGCCTTCGCCGCCTGGGCGTGTGGCTGAGCGACCTCGCCCCCACGGAGGCCCTGCCGTTCACTCCGAAGGATGCTCGCGACCACCTCCTGAAGCTGGACGAGGCTGCTCCGGCGGTGGACGCTGCTGCGCTGGACACGGTGCCGCCGCACGTCTGGCGCGACGCCCTCCCGCCGGGCATGTCCGACCTCGCGGAGCCTCCCTCGGCCGACGAGGTACGCGCTGCCATGTGTGCGATGCGGGACTCTGCCCCTGGAGACGACGAGGTCAGCATCGGCATGATCCGGGCCGCCAGCGCCAGGGTCCAGGAGCAGGTCATCCGCCTAGTGCAGCAGATGTGGGTGACCCCGCCAACCGCCTGGAGGGACCAATTCGGCGAGACGCCTTTTCGGGGTTTGCAGATATTGTTGTTCAAGAAGAAGGGGCTGCGGACGGATCTGAACAACTACAGAGGTATCTGCCTCCTGTCGGTGTTGTCGCGGATTCTTGCCAAGACGGTGGCCACCCGCCTGGCCCGATGGGCAGAAGAAGCTGGGGTCCACTCCAACACCCAGTGGGGGAACCGAAAGTATCGGTCCACCCGCGACGCCATTCTGGTGGCGAGGGCGACAATGGAGGAGGTGACCAGACTGCCCCGGGCGCCTGGCGAGAACACGCTCTGCTTGATTCTGTTTGACATCATGAAGGCGTTTCCTTCTGTTCCTCGCCCACTATTACGTGCTGTCCTTCTACGGCTGGCGCTCCCCGCAACCCTCGTGGACCTGGTGATCGGCCTGCACGACGTCACCTTCTACGTCGTGCGGACGGCGGCGGGCGACTCCGACCCCTACTGCCTCAGGAGAGGAGTGCGGGAGGGATGCCCTACCTCTGGCTTGCTTTTCACACTGTACCACGCGGTGGTAATGGCCGCGATTCTGCCGAAGCTGCCCAAAACTTTGGTCACTTACGACCCAGAGCGGCCCCTCCCGAGGGCGGCGCCCGCAGCGGAGACGAAGCAGTCCCTGGTGCTGGACACGCTCTGCTTCGTCGACGACACGACTGTGCTGCAGGAGAAGCGCCACTGTGCCGCCACGGAGCAGGTTGTCAGCGACGGCCTGCGGGCGTTCGGTTCCCTGATCCACCCGGGCAAGACCGAGCGCTACCTCCCGCACGGAGCGGCTCCGGCCACTGGCGCCGAGCCCGCCTGGCAGCCCGCCGTGAAGCTGCTAGGCGCTTGGTTCGACGCAGATGGCTCGTACGTTTCTGACGACAACCACCGCTTGGAGGCTGCTCGGAAAGCTTGGCGGGCCCTCTGGAGGCAGATGCCCAGGCTCGGGCTGACCGTGCGGCAGAGGGGCTCCATCGTGCAGGCAGCTGTCATATCCAGCCTCCTCTACGGCGCAGAGGTGAGAGCCTTCCACTCGACCACCATCGTGCGGTACCAGCGGTTCGTCGACAGAATGGTGCGGGGGCTCACAGCGTGCCGTCTCCGCTCCATGAGGGGCCTCAAGACGGGTACCGACCTGCGCAGGGAAGCTTGCATCCAGTCGATCGAGGTGCAGGTGAAGCGACGCCAGTATCAGTACTTGGGACACGTCGCCCGGTACCCGCCGGAGCGGGTCGAGCGCTGCATCCTCGGCGCCTGGATCCCAGGTGTCTCGGACTTGACAATGGGCCGCGGGGAGGGCAATCGTCTGCGGCTGCGCACGCAGTACTGGACCCGCATCCGGGAGGTCATGTGCCACACTGACGTGCCTGAGGCAGAGTGGCCGCAGCGCTGGATGGCCACGGCCGCAGACCGGCCGGTCTGGCAGGCAGCTGTTCGGGAGGCCGTGAAGATTGCCGAGGAGCACGCCCTCCGAGACTCATGGGTCCTGCGACACTCCGCGGAGGCCGAGGCGGCGCGGCAGCTCCAGGCAGCGGCGCCAGTGCACCCCGAGGACGGAACGCTGCAGTGCCCCAAGTGCCAACGCTGGTTCCCGAAGCAGGGCTTCCGCCACCACGCTCGGCAGTGCGACGGCGGCCCAGCTAAGGTCCCGCCGCGGCGCACGCTCTGCGACAGGTGTGGCAAAACCGTGTCCTGCATATCCGACCACCAGCGGCGCCCTGCTTGTCGGGAGGCGGCAGCCGCGAAGGCCCGCGCACGTGCGGCCGCCACAGCTGGACCCCCGCCGCGTGCCATGCAGGGGGTGGCCGAGGAGGAGGAGGAGGAGGAGGAGGAGGAGGAGGAGGGCGCTGGAGCAACGGTCCGTGTCCGAATCGTCGGCAAGCGGCCTGCCGCCGCAGGCGTGATCCGGCGTCGGCCAGCCGCCGCGTCTTCTCCGCCCCTCCTCCGGCGGCCCGCTGCAGCTGCTCCCTCGTCGGGCGTCCTCCGGCGGCCTGCGTCGGCGGCTCCTCCCGCTGCGGCTGGGGCGCCTCCCCCGCCCCCGCCGCCCCCTCCCCCCGCGGCGCCGGCCGCCCCCCGCGTCGCCTCCCACGCGCGGGAGCGAGCAGGCACCGCCCAGGAGAGGGCCGCCCGGGCCCAGCTACTGCGCGACGGCCCTCGCGAGCCGGTGGTCGATGCTGACGGGGCCATCGCAGCAGCTGCGGCCGACGAGGCCGCTGGCTGCTTCTCCGTCCGCTCCCTCTGCCATTACTGCAGCCAGGAGCACTCCGAGCCTCCGGGGCGGTGCAAGGCAGCCCCTTTCCGTGTGTGGCTGTACTGTGTGCTCTCGAGACGCGGACCGCCCAAGCCAGAATGGACCGAACTCTGCCCCTCCTGTGGTCATTTGTGGAAGAGTGAGATCGCAGTGCGGGGCCACAAGATGGAGTGTACGCGTCGCCGCCTCGCTGCCGGGCTCAAACGTCCTCAGCGTGTGCGGGCCCCTGGCCCCTGACCTTCCCGTGGGCGGGGCCGCGCCATGCAGGGCCTCGCTGCTGCGCGCGCCGCCGCCGCGAGTGCAGCCGCCCCCGCCTCCGCCCCTGCGGCGGCCGGCGCCCTCCCGGCGGCCGCCGGCGGCCCGCCCCCGGCAGGAGGCCGCCTGGCTGAGAACGACAGGAGGCTGCTGCACACTACCGCCGCCCTCGTGGTCGCCCTCGACCGACAGGTGCAGCTCCACGATGACAGGGTCTCGTGGCTCTTCGTGCTATGGGCCGAGCCGCTCAAGCAAGAGACCGTGCGGGTCCGGGACGCCTGGAGAGCGGCCGACCCGTGGAGGGGCCAGCAGGATGGCGACGCTGATGCTGCTCCTGGCCCTCATCCGATGGGCTCCCAGAGGTCGGTGCTGCACGCCCTCTTCTTCGACCACATGGCCTCCCAGCTGCCAGCGGAGAGCCCCCACCGGGCCGCCCTGGACCTGCTGCGCGGCCTGGACGGCGAGGCGCTCGACCGCTCGGTGTTCCGGCTGCAGGCCAAACACCGGGAGCCTCGCGAGGGCACCCCTTGGGCGTGGCAGCTGGTGCTGTGCGCCGGCGCCCCCTCGGAGTACGTGGCCTCGCTGCACAGGGTCGCCCGGGAGTTGCGCGGCAGCTTCGACTCCATCAGCTTCATGGCTCAGCGCTCCCGGGACGGCCCCCTGTCCTTGGAGATCCGCTCCGAGCTCGGCAAGAGCAAGGGCGGTGGCGGGAGCGGCAAGGGGGGCAAGAACGCCAACGGGAACACGGGCGGGGGCATGGGCATGGGCATGGGCATGGGCGGCGGCGGCGGTCGTGGCGGGAAGGGCGGCGGCGGCCGCGGCGGGGGAGGAGGCAGGAGGCGCGGCAAGGGCGGTGGTGGTGGTGGTGGTGCGGGGGGCAGTGGCGAGGCCGCGGCGGGCGGCGGAGGGAGCGGTGCAGGGAGCAGCAGCGGCGGAGGAGGAGGTGGGGGAGGAGGTGGCGGCGGCGGCGGAGGCGGAGGAGGAAGCGGCGCCGACACCGGCGCCGCACCCAGCGCGGCCCGAGGGGGAGCAGCACCCCACGCAGGCAGAGGAGGAGGCAGAGGAGGAGGAGGAGGAGGAGGAGGAGGCGGCAGCGGAGGTGCAGCGCCCCACGGAGCGGCCGCGCGTCCGCCCCCGCAGCAGCGGATGGGGCCAGCCGCCCACGGGGCTGCGGCCCCTGTCGCCGCCGCGCGGCCTGGCCGCAGCCGGAGCGAGGAGCGCGGAAGGCGGGCCGCGCCGCACCCTGGAGGCGCGGACTGGGACATGTAGGAGCGTGAAGATAGTCAAGCCTTGCGCAAAGATGACCGCACTTCGGAATCGTGAAGTGTATCCCATTTTTCTCAACCACGGGCTGTGGCAGCTGGCAGCCTGGAGTGCCGCTCGGGCGCGCCGCGGCGGCCCCCGCGGGGGTGCCGTAGGCGGCCCCGTTGCTGGCACCACCCCGCCCGCTGGGCCGGCCCCTGCGGGGGTGGCCCGCAGGCTTGCGGCTGGCGGCAGGACGCCGGTCCCTGGCGCGGTCGCCGTACGGCGGCCCTCGTGCGCGAGCACATGCTGGCGGCAGGTCGAGAACCGCGCGCCCTCCGCGCTGGAGAGCGCCAAGTGACCTCCTGGGGCGGGGGCCACGGCCCCACGGCCCTGGGGCCCTGCACCAAGGGCGGCCCACAGGCGCCGCAGGTGGCGATGGGGGGAGCGGGAGGGCCGCGGGCGCCAGAGGTGGCGAGAGGCGTCTAGCGGGCGGCGGCGGCGGCGGCGGCCCCTTCCTGCCCGCCGCTGCCGGGGCGCCGAGGTGGGCGCGCAAGGACGGCGAGACGGAGGAATTCACCCAGCAGATGCGGGACGAGGCGTCATCGCGGCCGCTGCCGCCGCCGCTGGCGCCGTCGCCGTCCACCCAGCAGGCGGCAGGCGAGGCCTCGTCGTCGTCATGGCGCCGCCGCCGCCGCCGAGGAGGAGGGAGAGGAGGAGGAGGAGGAGGAGGAGGAGGAGGAGGAGGAGGAGGAGGAGGAGGAGGAGGGAGGAAGAGGAGGAGGAGGAGGAGGAGGAGGAGGAGGAGGAGGGGGGAGGAGGGGCGAGGACGGAGGAGGTCGGAGGTTGGATGAGGAGGATTTGGAAGACGAGAAGGAGGTTGAGGAGGAGGAGGAGGAGGAGGAGGACCTTGCGGAGGACCAGGATGAGGAGGAGGAGGCAGGAGGAGGAGGAGGAGATGCATGAGGGAGCAGGTAGGTAGACGATAAGAACGAGGGGAGAAAGAGAGAGATAGAGACATACATAAAGAAATAAACATATATATATATATATATAAATATAACAAAACAAGAGAAGGAGAGAGAGAGAGAGAGAACAAAAAAATGGAAGGGGGGAAAGAGAAAGAGAGGGATAGCGATGAGGGAGGAATGAGGGATGTGGGGTGAGGGATGACGGAGGGATTCCGGAGCAGGGAGAATGAGAATGAGGTGAGAGGATTTGTGCGCAGAGGAAGGTGGAGAGGAGGGGGTCGACATTTGAGCGAGCGCCCGCTGTGGCTTCGGAGCCACCCTCTGCCGTCTCCCTCGACTTTCTTGGCCCTCGAAAGTGTTCCACATGGCAGCCACTGCCGGGGGCGTGCCGCCTACCTCATATGGGGCTGCAGTCCAAAGATCCCGCCACAGGCAGACAGACTGCCCGTGTAGAGCAACCGTTGGTGCCGGCCCTCACGATCAGAACAAAAGCGGGGCCACATGAGGACTCTGTCGGGTTCAAATCCCGACTTCAAAATGCGAAGGGCCCTGGACGTCCTGAAAGTCAAGCCTCCTCAACAATCCTCTCACTCAAACTGCCAACTCCTCCTCCAAAGACAGGATGGGCGCGCCTGGAGGGGGGCTAGGAGCAGAAAACACGTGGCACAACCAGGCGGGCAGATCGGGCGGGTAGATCCTAACGGGCGGGTCGGGCGGGCCCAGGCGGCCAAGTCGAGCAGGCGTGTTGCTGAAGCGTGCGTTCTGCATGAATCGCGAGGAAGTTTCGATCGATAGTGCGATTCCCAAATATATCGTCAGAAGCATTCCTGAGTGTCGAGGGCGCGGCGCTTGAAAACATTGAGAGGAAATCCCCCGCGAGAGCGCGATTCTTGCATAACTTGTAAGGAATTCCCGCGCGAGAGCGCGATGTGGGAATACATTGTGAGGGAATATCAGGCGTGAGCCGCTCTTGTTGAAAATTTTGGGCCATGGGCCCAGTTTGGTGGCACTCCATTTTCCGGTGTAAAACAACAAGGTGCGACCCTCGAGTAAACACTTTGTTTGAAACGTACAATGGTTACCGAACAAGGGTATCAACAACAATTGTTCTTTAGAGCTGGTAAGTCAACAACAACAACAACAACGACGACGGCGACAACAACAGCAGCAGCAACAACAACAATCATTTTACACCATTTCGGTATTACCCGCTCGCGTGCCACTCAACACGTATGTCCCGAACCCTGCGTACCCGCCCATTTCGTCTTCGATCTTGCCCCCTTGGGAGAATATGTTCTTTACCTGCCGCGCGTAGTTGAAACAGCCCCTGAACCATGGGATGAGGGCGGATGCAAGGGGGGAGGGAGAAGGATGGTACACGGGATTAGCAGGAGAGGGGGCTAGGAGCAGAAAACACGTGGCATAACCAGACGGGCAGATCGGGCGGGTAGACCATAGCGGGCGGATCGGGAAGGCGGGCCCCAGCGACCAGGTCGAGAAGGCGTGTTGCTGAAGCGTGCGTCCTGCATGAATCGCTAAGAGAGCTCGAGCGATAGCGCGATTCCCAAGTAATTAGAAAGAAAGGTCAGAGCGACAGCGTGATTCCTGGGCGTCGAGGGCGCGGAGTCGGAATACATTGCGAGGAGGTCCCACGCGAGAGAGCGACTCGTACATACATTGCGAGCAGGTCCCGCGCATGAGCGCGATTCGGGAATACATTGCGAGGAAGCATCCAGCGGGAACCGCTGTTGCTGTAGTCCGATGCCCAACGAAGCAGTTTGGTGACCCTTCGCTTTCCTGTGCAAAACAAGATGCGAACCCCGCAGCAGCAACACAAACATAATGTTAAGATTGTTCGTCCTTATCTGCTCGCGTGCCACTCATCACATATACCCCAAACCTTCGATACCCGCCCACTTCGTCTTCGATCGTGCCCCCGTAAGGTATATATATATATTTCCCTGCAGCTTGTATTTCGTGCAGCCACTGAGGCAGATGAAGAGAGGCGGACGCAAGGAAGGGACAATGGGGGAGGGAGGAGGATGGAGCACGAGAGAAATAGAGAGACTTACAGGAAGGGTGTTGGGAGCAGAAAACACGTGGCAGAATCAGGCGGGCAGATCAGGCGGATAAACCTTAACCGGCGGGTCGGGAAGGCGGGCCCAGGCGGCCAAGTCGAGCAGGCGTGTTGCTGAAGCGTGCTATCTGCATGGATCGCGAGGAAGTTTCGAGCGGTAGCGCGATTCCCAAATAGATCGCGAGAAATCCACAAAGAGAGCGTTATTACTGAGTGTGTCGAGGGCGGGGCGTCTGAATGAATGGTCGGACGTCCCACATGAGAGCGCGATTCTTGCAGAAATTGCCAGCCAGTCCCGGCGAGAGCGCGATTTGGAATACATTTTGAGGAGGTAGCAGGCGTGAGCCGTTGTTGTTTTTGTTGTTATCGATGGGGGGCCAGGGGCATAGATTGGTGACCTCGCATTGTCCGTTGTTAAAAAACGGGTGCGAACCCCCGAAAGAGTATTTTGATTGAGAAGTGCTATAATTCCCGGGGGGGTCAACAATCATTATTATGTTTTTAAGCAACTAGCAAGAACAAGAACACCGACAATAACACCATCCATAAGAACAACAATAACAATCACGCAACAATAACAACACCATTCATTTTAATACGGTTCGCTCTTATCTGTTCTCGCGCCATTAAACATGTATATCCCAAACCCACGATACCCGCCCTCTTCGTCTTCGATCGTATCTTTTGGGGTATATATATATGTGTATATATATATATATATATATATATATATATATCACCTGCAACCCGCATCGGCTGCAGCCTCTAAGGCAGGGGAAGAGAGGACGAGCGGAATGAAGGGACAAGGGGAAGGAGGAGGATGGAACATGAGACCGTAGCAGGAGGGGGGATAGGAGCAGAAAACACGTGGAAGAACCAGACGGGCACATCGGACGAATTGACCGCAACGGGCGGGTCGGAAGGCGGGTCCAGGCGGCCAGGTCGAGCGGCCGGGTTGCTGAAGCGTGCGTCCTGCATGAATCGCGAGGGCGTCTCCAGCGATAGCGCGATCCTCGAGCAATTCGTGATAAATCCACAGCAAGAGCGTGATTCCTGAATGTCGAGGGCGCGGCGTCTGAATACATTGCGAGGAAGTCCCACGCGAGAGCGCGATTCCTGCATACATTGTGAGCAAGTACCGCGCGTGAGCGCGATTTGGGAAGACATTGGGAGGAAGTATCAGGCGGGGGCCGTTGTGGTTGTAATTCTTCACGCTTCGCGTATCCCCACCAGCCCATCTCAAAACAGTAACTCTAGCGAAGCATGCCGAGAGTCGTGTTTTTCAGGCGTGTTTCCGCCTGCCCCCGCATATCTCCCCTGTTCCTCCTTCCTCCCGCCTCCTTGTACATCCTCCTTGTGGTGGGAGCGGGAGAAGGACGAGGCGGAGGAGGAGGGAGAGAAAGCGCTCCTCGTGGTTTGAGTCGTTCGGGCTTCTCGTCCTGGTGTGAGTCGTTCGGGCCCTTCTTCCTGGTGTGAGTCGTTCGGGCTCTTCGTGGTGTGAGTCGTTCGGGCTCTTCGTCCTGGTGTGAGTCGTTCGGGCTTCTCGTGGTGCGAGTTGTTCGGGCCCCTCGTCCTGGTGTGAGTCGTTCGGGCCCCTCCTCCTGCCCGTCCAGAAACGACGCCCAGGCGAGTAGAGGGTCGTCCTGATGGGCTTTTCGGCGTCTTGGGTGCCTCGGGGGGGCCTCTTTGGGCCGTTTGGGATCCCCTTGGGGGCCTCCTGGGGGCCTCTTGGGGCCATATTGGGGCCTCTTGGTGCCTCCTGGGCGCTTATTGGGGCCATCTGGGAGGAAATCGATCAAAGAAGAGGGGAGCTTTAATTAGCGCTGCCCCCTCAGAAGGCCAAAATGGGGCCAAAACCTTAGTAAAATCAATGATTTTGTCTTGAAAGAAGAGGGGAGCTTTAATTAGCGCTGCCACCTCAGAAGGCCAACATGGGGCCAAAACCGTAGTAAAATCAATGATGTTGGCTTCAAAGAAGAGAGGAGCACTTTTCTCCCTCCCCCCGTCGGGGCCAGAATCCTCGTGAGGGGTGTCGTTTTTTAGCCCTCCCAGGAATCGAAAAAGACCCCCCCGGCGACCCGCGGAGGGACCTCTCCAGGCCCAGGGGGAGGGGGTAGGGGGAGGGGTAAACCCCTCCCCGAAGGGGAAGAAGGGGGGTTGAGAACAGAGCGGGCTCTCTAAACCACTCACGCCCAAAGGGCTGGTGGGATTCCAGGGCCAGGGGCCTAGTCTGGTGACAACCAGCTTTCCTTTGTACAAAAACAGGGTGCAAACTCCGGGAGAAACACATTACTTGAAGCATGCACTGGTTATTGGAGGGCGGGATCAATATTATTCATTATGTAGAACGGGAGAACTCAACAGCAACAGCAACACCAACACCAACAACAACAATCAGTATAAGACCGTTCGCTCTTAGTGTCAGCTTGTGATTAACAAATGACCACACCCTTCTCCCCCGTCGCCCCCGGGGCTGATGAATAGACCCCGCGGGGCGCGAAACATGTTTTAAAATCGCGCGCGCCTGGGGGTCATCGCTGGCGTTGCCGACGGGACCGTGTACCCCCTGCATGACAGCGTCAAAACGGTTGCGCGTCGTATAGAAATTGCGATAGGGGTCGTACACATCCGAGGCGAATTCGTCCCCCATCTCAGGCGTCGTCGTCGTCGTCGTCGCCGCCGCCGTCGTGGTCGTCGTGTTTTTTTTATTATTCGTCGTCCATGTCGTCGTCGTCGTCGTCGTCGTCGTCGTCGTCGTCTTCGTCGTCGTCGTTGTCGTCGTCGTCGTCGTCGAGCGCAGCGGGCGTGCGCTGGCCCCCCATAGGGCCGCAGTGCGTCGTCGTCGTCGTCGTCGTCGTCGTCGTCGTCGTCGTCGTTGTCGGTCGTCGACTGCAGCGAGCCTGCGCAGCACCCCCACCCCCCCCATAGGGCATCCACAGTGCATCGTCGTCGTCGCCGCCGTCGCCGTCTGCCCCCCCCCCCATGGGGCATCCGCAAGGCGTCGTCGTCGTCGCCGCCGTCGCCGTCTGCCGTCCGCCGGTCGTCGTCGTCGTCCTCGTCCTCGTCCTTGTCCTCGTCCTCCTCGTTCTCGTCCTCGTCCTCGTTTTCGTCGCCGTCGTGGTCGACGATTACAGACCACGACAAAAGGATGAGGAGGGCTGCCCGCCTTGCCCGGGTCGGACGAAAGGCTGGGGGAAAAAAGGGGGGGTGGCGAAACTTGCTGCGCGCAGCGGGTTTCGGTCGCCCCGTTGAGGGGCCAGTCCTCGATGCATGGCTGCTTTCGGCGCCACGGGGCGCTCCGAAAAGCTACTGGGCAAATCCCCTCTCGGCCACGCCCCCCTTTCGTCCAACCCGCCTTGCTCGCGGGCCCGCGAGGCAGCTGGCGCCCCCCTGGCTGCGACCAGGGCAATCGAAGCGCATCGGTTCGACAGAAAAGAGCACGAAAAGTGCGGGGGCGAGCGCCGACAAAAAGTTCTTCTTCATTTCGAACACGCGTCGCCCTGGCTCACGCTCCCTGCTTCTGCCGCCTTTGCCTCCCGCCCCCTGCCCTCCCCCAGTTTGTGCTGTTTGTCGCCTTCCCGCTGCGGCTGGGCGTCGGCGCTAATCACCGGCGCCGCCACCGTTGATTTTCAATCTGGTGGGCGCCACCCCGCGATTCGCCTGACGAGCAGTTTTTTAGATGTAGCAATCACAAGCGCCCCCCGCGGATTTGTTAATGTATCACGAGCTGACATTGCTGGCGTCGCGTGTTATTCAACGCGTAAGTCCCGAACCCACGATACCCGCTTTGTTCGCCTTCGATGGTGCCCTTTGGGAGTCTATCTTCTTTTCCTTGCCTGCCACGTGTTAGTGGCGCTGCCCCGAAAAGGCAGGAAAACACGACGGGTGGAAGAGGGGGGGAAAAGGATGGAACACGGGATCATTTGCATGAGCGGGTCCAGGAACACAAAGCACGTGGCAGAACCAGACAGGCAGATCGGACGTGTAAGCCTTAACTGGCGGGGCGGGAAGGCGGGCCCAAACGGCCACGCCGAACAGGCGGGTTGCTGAAGCGTGCGTCCTGCACGAATCGTGAAACAATTTCGAGCGATATCGCGATTCCCGAATACATCGTGAGGAATTCCATAACGAAAGCGAGATTCCTGAGTGTCGAGAGTGTGGCGTCAGAGTAAAGATTCCCGTGCGAGAGCGCGATTCCTGCATACATTGTAAGGAAGTCCCGCGCGATAACGCGAGTTGGGGATACATTGTGAGAAAGTATGCGGGCATTTGTTGTTGCACCTCGGTGGCAAGTGGCCCAGTTGAGTGACATTTCATTTCCCCTTGCACAAACAGAGTGCGAGCCCAGGGAAAAACATTGTATTCGAAAAAAGAACATGTGCCCCGGAGGGGGGGATCAACATTAATCATGTTTTAGAAGGGAAAACTTGAACAACAGCGCAACAACAGTCCGCACCGCGGAACCCCATCTCAGTCACGCGCCCAGAAACATCGAATGACCATTCGGTCCTCTTCATTTTGACCCGCGAGAGATGCGAGCGTTTCCACATACTCGTTTTCAGGATACTGTGAATGCGCGCGCGTGACGGAATGTTGTCTGATGTGCGCGTATACATACGTGACTCAAGGACTCGGGACATGCAGACAATCCAACCAGCGGAGGAATATCCCAAAGGTTTGTGCAGCATGTGCGACAAGGCTACGATCAAGGTGAAAGTTGAACTCAACAGACCAAAGCGGGGCCTACATTGCCCAGGCCATAACCCAGAGAAGTGCAAGAGTCCCAGCGACGAAACTCAGCTGCGTAAGATCGGCGAAGTAATGAGTTTGGCCATCCTGGGTGACCATACGATCACAGAAGGCCCACGAGGGTTTCACTTCAGAGGGGGTGTATCCACCACTACCATCGGTGAAAATGTTGATGCGCTTGGCTGTTTGGGCCTGGTCTTGGTCCCCTGGGCCATCACAGATCGATCCAGCTAGAAAAGTGTCGCAGAAATATGGGGTCTCTGGGGATCTGGTCGTGATTTTCCACGACGTTGAATTTGTGGTTGCAGTGTCGGACCCAAGCTCGGCTCCAGGTGCCCACAAAGACGCCGTGCTCCGCCCTGGCACATCGGATCTCAGGGTCCCGTCGACACTCTCGACACTCTCGACACTCTCGACACCCTCGACGCCCGCCGCCGCCGCCGAGTTTGCTGCCTCGGCGGCCCCGTTCCGCTCGGCCGCAGGGCCGGGCGGGCGCCCCCGCGGCGCTGTCGGGGCCGCAGCGGCGGCCCTGCTGCGGCGGCCAGATCCACGAGCGCCAGCGGCAGCTTCGTTCTTCGCCCTCCCCAGAGGACCGAGGGTAGCTCGGAACCCACACTGCGCACTCGTGCTGAGACGGCCCCGCCTGAGCTCCGAGGTCGCGCCAGGTTCGCCAGACTCGCCGAGGTGGTGCAGGAAGTGCTCCTGGCCCAGATGGAGCCGACGAGGGGATCGAGGACAGAGGGCCGAGGGGATCGAGGATTCGAGGATCAAGGGCCGAGGAGTTCGAAGGCCTCCTGGCCCTCCTGGCGCCCAGAGGGGGGAGGCACCCAGAGGATCAATCGACACCGAGGTCCGACCTCCGTTCTTCGAGGAGGGGATCGACTGCAGAACTGACTTGCAAAATACATGTTGGGGTGGATCAATTCTGTAGTCGATCCCCTACTCGAGTTCTGAAGGCTCGTTGTCCCCCCCCCCCCCCTGCACTCCTGAGGCTCTCTTCGCCTCTGGGATGGAGGTGTCTCACTGCCCACGACGCCACCCCTACCCAACCCGAAGACCCCAGGTTGCTGCTCCTTCCCAGCGGGGTGTGGCTTCCCGGAGCATGGAAGAAGCACACACCGTGGAACCCGCACACACCCCAGCCCGAAATGCGGGATTTCGGGGGTTGGGTGGGGGTGGTCTGGTGGGTAGTCGCCCCCCTCCCGAATGAAAGCCGTTGATCCTCCAGGGCGGCAGCCGCCGCCGCTTGCGTATGCGTCCTTGGCTCAGGGTGTCGAGAGGGAGATCCCTCGACTGCAGCACGCTCAACCGGGCTAGGTGCACCCAAAACACATCGAGAGAGTTTGATACCGTACAGTTGAGTCTTGGATTGAGCGGCCAGGTCATGAGCGCCAACAACAGCTTCGCCTCCGAGGCCCTGCGAGTGCTCGCCATCGCCGTGGCCCCGCTCCAGGAGCTCGGCTTCGACGGGGCAGACCAGGAGCCGCCGGCCGGCGCCCGCCGCGCGCTCGGGCGGGGCCCGCCTGCGCCCGATCGGGCCGATTCGAGTCGGTGTCGCTCCCGGCGGGCTCGGTCCAGAGTTCCCAGAGCTCGGCTCCGAGGCTCCAGCGAGGCGATGCGGCCCGACGCTCCAGGCTGCCCAGGTGGGGTCGAAGCAGCTGGGGTCGGCAGCTCGCGTCGCATCAGCGATGCATCGGGGATGCGGCTCGGTGTGGGGCCCGACCTTCTCCACGCCGACCCCATCTGCTCGGAGCCCACTCGGCAACGGCCTCCAGAGGCTTGCATGGCGCTGCTGTGCATCCTGGCACGGCCGATCCGCTTCGGTTCTGGCTCCGGGCCAGAGCGGCCCGACCCACGTTCTGGTTCGGCCCGATTTCCCGAGCCGATGCGGACCGATCCTGCTCCTCGGCAGCCCCCAGGCAGTGGGCGGGGCGACGCCGTCGACGACGTCGGCGCCGACGGCGGCGGCGGCGGGACGCAGGTGGCGGGACGCGGGCGGCTGCGGTGGCGGTCCGACGTTGTCGTCATCGGCGTTGTCATCGACGACGAGGACGTCGTTCGAAAGGGCCAAACTGGGGACGAAGACTGGCGTCGAAGAAGAACCAATTGCACAAAGCAGAAACTCTCGGAACTCCGCGGACCGGAAAGCCTGGGGGTGGTCCCGCTCCCATCAGGACCCCCTCTCCTTTTGCCGACCACCAGGGTCCGGACGGGGAGTGGGCCTCGTGGTTGGCACGGCTGGTGAGAGAGTGTGTGTGTGTGCGTCGCTTCAGTTTAAAAGTTGAATCGTCTCCTCGGTTTCTCGCCGCTGCATGTTTCGCTTGGATTTGCAGCTCCACTTACACATCACCTATCGCTACATTGACAGTGCGCACGCTTTGTACACCGTGCTTTCGGCAATGTTCGAGCGTGATTCGCACTTCATCTGCTGCTCGCGCCTGAGGATCCTCTGCGCCGCTGATTAAAAGTGTGTGTGTGTCGTTTTGGTCTGCCTCCCCCCCTCTGGCCCCACTTCCGACGACGTGAAATTTCGCAGCCTGAGCTCTGGAGCTCTCGACCCCTCTCCTCAGGTCTTCGTCGTGCGCCAGTCGTCGACGCAGTCCTGGCGGCCAGACACGCGCTGGGCTGGTGGCGGTATCTAAGACGCCTACGGCGAATCACCGCCGCCCCCTGCCTTTGTGGAAGCGCCTATGTGGCCGAACGTTGAGGCCAGACCTGCCAAGCTATCGGACCATGTGCTCCCCGAATCGGTTTGGAAAGCCTTCGGGGAACACGTGGGCATCTTGAAAGTCATCTTGGCCGTCTGGAGGCCGTTTTGACCTTTTGGGGCCTTCTTGGAGGACGTCTTGGAAGGCTCTTGGGCCGTCTTGAAGGCCATCTTGAGCGTCGTTGAGGCCTCTTGGGCCGTCTTGGGGCCCTATGGGGGCTGTCGTGGGCCTCTTGGGCGATCTTTGGGGGCACTTGGGCCGTCTCGGGCCGTCGGAAAGCCGAACAAAAAGCAAATGCCACAATCCTTCAGAAACTCAAGGGAAATCAATGATTTTCGCCTTTTCGGGCCTTCCTGGAGGCCCTCTTGGAGGCCTCTTGGGCCGTCTTGGGCCATCTTAGTGCCATCTTCGGCCGTCTTGGTGGGCTCCTGGCCCGTCCGACGCCGTCGGAAGCCGTTTGGGGGCCCTTCTGGGCCGACTTGAATCCCTCTTGGAATGCTCCAGGGCCGTCTGGGAGGCCATCGTGGGCGTCTTCGAGGCCTCTTGGGCCGTCTTGGGGCCCTCTTGGGGCCGTCTTGGGGGCCTCTTGGGCCGTCAGGGGGCCGTCTTGGAGGCCTCTTGGGCGATCTTGGGGCGACCTTGGGGGCCTCTTGAGCCGTCTAGGGCCGTCGGAAAGCCGAAAAGGTGCAAATACCAAAATCCTTCAACAACCCAAGGAAAATCCATGTTTGTGGCCTCTTCGGGCCTTCCTGGAGGACCTCTTGGAGGCCTCTTGGGCCGTCTTGGAGGCCTCTTGGGAGCCTCTTGGGCCTTTTGGGCCATCTTGAGGCCATCTTAGGCTGTCTTGGGTGCATCTTGGGCCGTCATGGAGGCATCTTGGGGCCATCTTAGCCGTCTTGGAGGCTATCTTGGCCGTCTGGGAGACCATCTTGGGCCAACTTGGGGCAACAAAGGCATTTACGGACGGATTTTCGGGAATCTCCCAGGACCCCGGCGGGACGGGCCGAAGCCCCAGGGGAGTTCGTTTGGAAAAAAAAACAAAACCAAAAGCCATATCGTCTGGCACGCCAGGCACCCCTTTGATAAATCAAAAGGGGGCGGCGGATCTAATGGTTTTCGGCCCATACCGCCACCGTGCCTGGGTTGTGGGTATGAAGCCGATTTGATGTTCGCTGGGATCTCGCGGGGGGCCTCTCGGGGGCCTCTTGGAGGCAGCTTAGAGGCCTCTTGGTGGCCGTTTCGGAGCCTCCTCGGGCCTCCTGGGGCATCTGTGGAACATGGAGCGCACGGTCCCCGAGCTGAGCCGGACGAGGAGTAATGGCTCCATCGAGGAGACCATCATGGACTTTACGTCGCCTTTCCAGGCAGCGCGCAGCCGATCTACATCGACGTGTCGACCCATTGCCCACACGCGAAGCGCTACACGCGCACCGCTTCAGCGGCGGCGCAGCTGGCTCGGCGGCCTCAGCGGCGGCTGCTGACAAGCGCGCGCGATGCGCGCTGCGGCAACGACGTGCTGCCCATCGGTGGAGTCCTACGGTCGCGTCGTGCTGGAGACGCTGCGCTCGCTGGACCTCTTGGCAACGCACGCTGGGTGCTGCCTCCGGGACGCTTGGGCCGCGCCCAGTCTGCTGCCGCGCTGGCGCGCCGCCCTCGAGCGCATCGTGCAGTACGCGAGCGCCGACATTGATTTGTTTGCGCTCGGCTGCACGCCCATAGCCGCCGCGGCCAGAGTGGTCTACGGCTGCGTGTTTGCTTCGCGAGCAGCAACAGGAGTGGGAACAATGGGCCACTTAGGTTGTAGCAATAGTGTCACCGAGTGCGCGCGCCCGCCAGCGGTACATCAGCAGGAGCAGCAGGAGGAAGAGCAGGCGCAGGAGGAATAATAACATGGGCAGGAGCATGACGAGGAGCGGCAGCGCGGCCCCCCCAATCGTTGTGGAGACCTATGGTCGCATAGCTGCCGAGGGCATCTGGTCCTTGGGGCACCTGGCGTCCCACGCCGGCGCCTGCATACGGGACTCCTGGGCCGCGCAGCGCCTGCTGCCCATTTGGCGCGCAACCGTGGAGCGCATCGTTCACTTCTGTGCAGCATGCAGCAGGTGTCGACCTGATGCGTCATGGGTGCGCTCCGAACGCCACGGAGGCGAGTGGCTTGTGCGGGGGTGGGTGACAGCAGGAGTGGGCGCTGACCGCCATTCCTATCTTAGTTTGCGATTCAGACAACGGAATCTTGTACAGGTGGCTGTGGCCGTATTTAGGAGGAGGAGGAGGAGGAGGAGGAGGAGGAGGAGGAGGAGGAGGAGGAGGAGGAACAGCAGCAGCAGCAGTAACATCAGCAGGAGTAGCAGCCAGAGGAAGAGCAGGAACAGGAGCCGGAGGAGGAACAGCAGCAGGAGCGGGAAGAGGAGCAGGAAGCAAGGGGCGACCGACTGCACCTTGCTGCGCGGGGATGCCCCCCTACGACCGACGACGACATGCCGTCACCGTCGTCTGTCGTCTGTCGTAGCTGTCCGTCGTCCGTCGTCGTCGTCGTCGTAGTGTCTTCGTCATCGACGTCGGTCGCCGTCGTCTGTCGTACGCATGCCGTCGGTCGTTGGTCGTCGTCGACGTCGGTCGTCGTCGGTCGGCGTCGGTCGTCGTCGGTCGTCGTCGGCCGACGTCGTTCGACGCCGGTCGTCGTAGGCCGTCGGACGTTGTCGTCTTGTCGTCCGTCTGTCTGTCGTCGTCGTCTTGCGCCGGTCGTTGGTATGCGCCGGTCGTCGTAGGCGCTGGCCGTCGCCGCGCGTCGGTCCTCGGTCGTCGTCCGTCGACGTGGGTCGTCGGTCGGCGGCCTGTGACGGGCCGGCAGGCCGGCAAAGGGCCGGCTTGGGCCGACGGCGGGGGGTCGGCGGCCCTCTTTCCGCAGGACATCGGCGCCGAAGAGAGGTTGGAGGCGCGGTGGCGGCTGGGGAGGGGGAGAGGAGGACGGGAGGGGGGAGCAGGAGGAGGAGGAGGGAGGAGGGAGGGAGGAGGAGGAGGAGGAGAGTAGGAGGACGAGGAGGAGGAGGAGGAGAGGAGGAGGAGGAGGAGGAGGAGGGAGGATGAGGAGGGGGAGGAGGAGGAGGAGGAGGAGGAGGAGGAGGAGGAGGGAGGAGGAGGAGGAGGAGGAGGAGGAGGAGGAGGAGGAGGAGGAGGAGGGGGAGGAGCAGGAGAATGGACGGGGCAGGAGGGGGAGAGGGGGAGAGGGGGACGGGGGAGGGAGAGATGGAGGAAAAGCCGTGTTTTTCGACATGAAATGTGGCTGTCGCCTTCCACGGCGCACGCATACTCGTTCTCAGCGCTTCCAGCGGTTACCAGGACGGAGGCAGGCTCGTTTTCAAAATGTGGATCTCGCTTAAAATGTGTCTTCTATTTTTGTCCTGAAGTTGGAAATTCTGCAGTCGTTGCACAGATGGAGGGCGGCTCATGCTCAAAATGGGGCTCTCGTTCGAGACTCACTCCGATCGAACGGCCCTGATTTTGAAATTGTGCATCACCTACGCAGATCGAGCGCGGATCATTTTCGAACCGAGATTATCAGCTAGAATTTGTTCAAGAGACTTACGCCATTCCGCCGACCCCCGAGAGAAAGGATAGACGGCGAGAAATTTTTGGAGGCATATTGGAGGCTCTTAGGATGCCCCTCAGCAGCATCTTGTAGCGTTTGTCGAGGCATCTGTTGCCTTTTGGTACCTCTCGGGGGCCTCTTGGAGGGCTCTTGGGGCCATTTTGAGGGCAGCTAGAGAGGCCTCTGTGGGAGGCTCTTGGGGCCATCTTTGTGGGAAAGGCTCGAAACGTCAGTTCGGATTCCCTTCTTGGGCCTCTCTTGGGGCTCTCTTGGGCCGTCTTGGGGGCTCTTGGGGCCGGCTTGGGCCTCTCTTGGGGGTCTCTCTGGCCGTGTTGGGGGCCCCTAGGGCCGTCTTGGGGCCCTCTTAAGCCGGCTTGGGGCTAACTTTGGATGATTTTGGAGCCCCTTGGACCGTCTTGGACGTTCTCAAGACGCAGAAGGCGAGTATGCTGAAAATGCATGTTTTCCTTAAGGAATGGGGTTATTTTCGCTTCTTGGGGCCTTCCCGGTGGTCCTCTTGGAGCATTCTTTGGCCGTCTTGGACGCGTCGTGGGCCGTCTCGAAGCCTGCTTGAATCACCGCGGGGCTACCTTGGGCCATCTCGACGCTCTCTTGGACTGCCTTGGCGTTTCGTTCGGGTCTTCTTGGGCCGATGCTCCCTAGCGCCGCGCATATTCGTCTTACAAGTTTGTAAGCTTCAGACACGGAGGCCGCATCGCTGCTCGTTTTTTAAATGCGGTTATCGCGGTTTTCAAAAGGCCGCAGCGCAGCGCCACGCGCATTCCTCGTAAACAGCTTGCAAACTTGACGAGGATGGAGGGTGGCTCTTTTCCAAAATGGGGCTCTCGCCTCAGCGACGTGTACTTTTGTCTTGAAAGCTTGCAGCAGCTTTGCGGATGGAGGCCAGCTCCTTTTCAAAAAGGGGATCGCGCTCGAGACGTGCAATTTTTTGCAACAGTTGCATGGGTGGCTGGCGTTTTGGTAGTTTTTGTTGCTTGTTTTTCTAAACGTGGCTCTCGCTGGACATTTATCGGGTTGTATGATCATACTTGATCCACAGCCTTATCAGTCGCTGGAAGGATGCAAGGGATTGCCTTTTCGAACAGAGGAACCGCCTGAATGGCAGGCACATCAGGTCTCTGTCTTTCAAGGGGAAGCTTCCAGGATCGAAACGGAAGGCTTGTAGGGACGTGTGAGGAAGGGATCTTGGACGGAAGGGTTTATTGCAGCATCGTTCGCGCATCCTTAGATCATTTTTGTCCTCCTCTCCTCCTCATCCTCCTCCCTGTTCCTGCCTCCGCCTCGCCCCTGCTCCCGAACATTCCTCCCCTGAGCCCCTGGAGCGGAGGAGAGGATGCGGACGAAGAAGGGGGATCCGCGGCACGAAGAGAAGGAGGAGGAGGAGGAGGAGGAGGAGGAGGTGGAGGGGGAGGAGGAGGGGGGGCAGGAGGAGGAGGTGGAGGATGAGGAGTTTTTTTTTGTTTTACCCTCTGGGCCATCACGCGCGTTGTGCCCCCTACTTCCCCCCCCCTACCACCCTCCATAACGTAACGCTCCCCCCCTCCAGTGTGACCCCGGCACTGCCGCAGTGCGTCCCGTACCACAGTCTGGGTGGGGGGGTACTACGTTATGCCCCTCCCCCCCCCCCAGAACGCCCGTCATGGCCGCGAGCAAAAGAATGCGCTGTTTCGGCCTGGGGCCAGACGAGGCGCTGTGCCCTCAGGTCGGCTAGCCTAGGGACGGCCCGCGATCAACCGACCGCATTCTTTGATCGACAAATTCCATCGATCATTCTTCAGGCTGTCCTCGCGACGCACTCAACTTTGCGACCTCGTGTCGGCCTAGCCAAATACAGTACACCGTATATCATCAGTACAGTGCAGACCACATAGAGGGCGGCGGAAGTTGGCAGCATACGCATCAACGTTATCAATCATTTTGTGCTTCCAGCAAATCAGGAATGCGGCGGATCCGTGACCGGCGCACATTTGTTAAGATCACATGGCGCCACACATTTCCTACATGTGTTTCTGGAACGTGCAAGAATCAATACTGCTACGCCGCATTCGCAGCAGCTGCGATCTCATCAGTGCTGTTTGGACTCTCCCGTGAATATCTAAGCAAACGGATTTGTCCCGTCCACGAGGCTTGTTTTGACCGAAATTACCCCCAGCGTCGGCATCATGTAACCGCCGACGACATGTACTCCACGTCTCGTGCAAATCGACGGCGATAATAATATGGGTGACGCTTGTTGCGCAGCGCAGAGTTTACATAGTTTGTTCCCGACGCCGTCAGACACAAGTATCGACAAAGGTGTTCGTTCAATGCCTCGATGTTTGCTGGTGGACTGGTGGTGATGCTTTTGAGGCGCTGGTTCCAACGCCAAATTTCGGACAAGTCAGACGTGATAAACGACAGATACACCACATGGGCTGGATGAAGCAGCCTGCTTTGAATCGGCAGTTGTTCTCAGCGGCAGGTGTTCTCATCGGCTGTTGTTCACAGAGATAGGTACTGGCCAAAGGCTTTACATCAGCGATAAAAGTCGATGGCCACATTGCAAATATTGGTTCACAGCTTTACACCGCTTGTCACATTGATTCGGGCGATGGCAACTTGGAAGCAAATGGAAACATCGTGGGACTGCAGTTTGAAAACGTTGCTATGGTCTTTTCAACATTGGAAAGGGATGGAACGCATGCTGCGAAGTTATTTAATGATCACCGCGCCTACGACACCAGTGTCGGCCTCGACGTCGAAGGCAGATGTATTAGCAATGCTGCGCTCAACAATGCGATGCAGGAGTGGCATGCTCACCAACATCTATGCGAGGCGAAGTTACTTCACGCAGTCACGATGGAATGGGTATTGACGCGTTACGGCACCATGCCGTTGCCACTCTTGAATTTTGGCTCTCGGATCGCAGTGCCAGCGAGTCCGAGCTCTGGTCTGAATTCTCAGTTGCGATTGTTTTGGACTGCAAGCTTGACAATGCTATGGCGGTATTTGTGCATGCTACCATCCGCGAGCGTGCACATACATCAAACACGTCGGGCATGACCATTTTCACAGAGGCGGTGTGAGCGGTCCCCCCCAACCTTCCTCTCCTTCCAGGCCCTCCACCTCTCGTTTTCCTTCTCTCCCCCCTCTTGTGGGACGGGCACCGGCGTGCGCGCGCGCGCGGGGGGGCGGGCAGGCGTTTTTTTTGTTGATGGGCCAGAGCGTCGGAAGACACCGGCCCAACTTGTCTCGTCTTCAGCCGTGGTGATGGTGGGCCTTCGAGGCACGCGGCCATTGGGACAGACCATGGAGTCGGCACCTCTCAGCTGTTTTGCGTGCGTGGGTGGTCGCTTCTTTCTGCCATCACTCTTGGTGCCTGAAACGTGGGGGGGATGAGCTGGGTCAGGAAGGGGGAGGGAGTGGATCCCGGGGACAGTTCAGCAGCTTGCGCATCGTTTGTTCTTCCCCCGCCATGGCATTCGGAATGCGACAGCGGGTCGCAACTATTCGAACATTCGGGGAGGATAATCGCAGAGAGTACGTTAGGATGCTTGGATTTTAAGATGGAGTTGGGGTTGAGGAGGGCAGTGACGTACCATGCGTGTCGACCGTTGCGAGTGCGTTGGCCGCCAAGACGTTCGATTTCGGCAGCATTTCAATCCAGCTCGACGGGCATCGGTACATTGGCCCGAACCGCGCCCAGGGCATAAGATTTTAGACCTTGTGCACCCTACGCCTTCGGTAAAGGCCACACGTGCTCTTTGGGAGGGTCGGGTGGGTTGCTTGGCGGAAAGGGATGATGCGCGAGCCGGCCGTTGCGAGCGCGTTGATCGCCAGAGCTACGCCTCAAGCGTGTCGTCAGTGGTCAATTAGGGCTCGTGCTGAACCCGAGAAGAAATATATAAAAACATGGAGGTTCCGAGGCCGAGGAGGTTTGTGGTGAACCGCGCAAGCCTTGGGTGCCAACCTGGGAGTTGCCGCACTTTTTATTTCGGTTATGTTCGCAGCAAACTCGCACTTTAGAGTACTTCCATATTAGCTTTGCAGCTGAGCGTCGTATCGTAGGCTTTGGTGGGGGTCCTTGTATATTGGGTGGGTCGATGCTGGTTTTGATGCGGGGAGGATGGATCAGGTCCTTGACACCGTTCATTCTGGATCGTTGCTCTACTTATTCTGCTTTTCTCGCCTGTTTCGTGTTCTTTTCAGAAGTATTGCCACACTGCGCGCTTTTCCTCTCGCACTCGTCATCTTGGGATTTGTGTTGCCCCCGTCCCTGGAAGGGTTCGAGTAGGTGAGGGATGCAGCCGCCTCGAGCTAATGATTGGCCGACGTCAAAAAGGAGGAGGAGGATGAGGAGGAGGACGACCAGGAAGAGGAGGAGGAGGAGGAAGAAAGGGAGGAGGAGGAGGAGGAGGAGGAGGAGGAGGAAGAGGACAAGGAGGAGTCAAGTTAGCCAGACCTGGCGAGTCAGAGGGCCCCGCCTGCTCCCACCCACCCTCCCACAGCAGAAGAATCGGGGGTGGCACCCTCCCAAAACGTGCTCCCACCTCGCCAAGGGAAAGCGCTCGCGCGCGGCCCCGCTTCCGACGACTCGTGGAAGGGAATGCTACGCGTGCCGCGCAGGGGCGGGAACGGCAAAACTTCCGATGGGCGCGTCGACGACGAAACATGCGCCGCGCTGGCTCATCACTGCGCAAACTGCGCGGCCATTTGGCGAGGTCGGCATGTCGCCCGCCCTCGCGCGGCCCCGCTGCCAATGTCGCTTTCGAGCGCTCCAGCGAGCGAGCTGTGCGCCGCGTTCGCGCTGGAGCTCCACTTCCGAGCCATCTGCGCACGGAGCGCCGGCAGGGGCGACGGGTCGCCCACCCGCGCGGGCCATTCAAAATTAGCGATTGAAAAAGATGCACCGCGTCGAGGCGGGAGTGCTACAGTCAACCAGTATAGTAAGGATGCGCGATGAGGATGCAATGGCCTTGCACGCTCATTTCGAAGTTTTTCGAGCGGGGCGCGGCCAGCGAAAGCGGCGAAGGATGGACCGAGGAGGCAAGGATGCAAGGGTACACTTGGGAAGGTTGCCCATCCTTACTATGCAGGTTGAGTGCGCTTCAGGCGAAATCGGCCTGGCGCCGCGGCGAGAAAGACACTTTCGACCGCTCGCGCGTCGACGACAAATGAGTGCGAAAAATATGCGCCGCGCCCAAGCGGGAGCTCAATTCTTTAGAGAAAATGCGCGCAGCGCTGAGGCGAGAGCGACAGTTCGGCCTTTCGCACGGGACGTTCTCCCCGTCCCACTCCCGCCGCGCATTTTGCAGCATGGACGACAGAATGTCCGTGTTGCGACATATATATATATACACATATATGTATACATATATATCTATATATATATATATAGTGAAACGTTTTCCAAATAGCTGTGCACGCCCTAAATGCAAGCCGCCTGCAGATGGGATGGGCCCTGACGTGTCCGTTCCACCGCCGTCTTTGCTCAAGTATTTCGGGCGGCACCGCCTTCCCAGCCTGTATGGGCATCCTTGGCTTCTGGAGCAGAGCTGCGCGGGGCGGCCTCGCCATACTCGACTCTCTGGGACCGGGCCTCGGATCGCTCGCCGAGGAATCATCCAACTGTGCTCTTGCCGTGGGCTCGTTCGGAAGTATCCGAGCGCTGGTGATCGTGAGCTTGATCGTCGGGTTCTTCATCGGTGTCGGTCTCTCGCTCTGCTGCTGCGTCTCCGGCCATGTCCTATCTTCGATCTGGGCGGCGCGTGCGTATTCAGTGGGAGAGGGGTGGCACCTGGCAGGATCGGACCCTGTTGTGCGAGTGCCAGAGTTCGGAGTGCGAAGCCGAGCTAGAGCTGACCCCCAGCAAGGAAGATATCGCCGGTCGCCGAGTGTGGTACGCCGTCACCCCAGACCTGGACGTGTACCCTCACATCCTGTCGGAGACCCAGCTCGTCGGCTTCGTGGCGGTGTCGAACAACGGGACGCCGATCTCGGAGTCGGTGTTTGGGGCAGCGAGTGCGGCATACGGCGCCGACTGGGAGCCGACCGCGCTCTAGGTCTGCGAGGCGCTGGAGGCGGTGAGGCCAGGTTGCTTGTCGGTGCCCGACGCCGAGAAGCCGTCCAGGCGTATGAAGGGGAAGACGTCCGTGAGGTCGTCTCCAGCAGCAGCAGCGGCAACTAGCGTGGTGGAGGAGCTCTACCCGGGGCTGCTTGTGGGTTCAGGTGCCTTGCCCGACGTCGGTAGACTCAGCTGGTTCACTCTGTCGGCCGAGGATGCTACCCAGCTGCGCCAGGCCGTGAGGCACAAAGACTTCGACGGCTACCTGGTCGTGGATAAGGTTGGCATCGCGACACAGGGGACCGAGTGCCTGCTAGTCAAGGCCGTGGACCCTGCCGCCCCAGGCCCAGAGCTCGAGACGGACGCGCGGGTGCTGGACATCAAGACGCGTCCGGACGGCAGTCGGCACCGGCACTTCACGGAGGCCGCGCGGGAGGTCACCACGACGGAGTGGCCCGAGTGGCCCATCATGGGCCCGAGGACTGCTTCCTGGTGCCTGGAGTTCTTGGCGCGCCAGGACCAGCACCCGCGCGCCCGTCACACGAAGTGGGTGCACGAGTGCCGGCTGGAGGCCGCGGACGAGGGCGTCGGGGATCACGACCTCGCGATGCGCATGGCGGAGCTGGGCCTCAGCTTCGACCAGCTGAACCTCGGGGAGCTGGCCTCGTTCGAGCTGCTGATGAGGAAGGCCCAGATGGCCGAGTGGCGCCACCGCGACCGGCTCGCGGCTGCCCAGGGGGATGACCTGATGGAGGAGAGCTACCTCTATCTCGGCACGGGCGAGACACGCGGGCTGGCGATGGTGTCACCGGCCCTGGTCGACCACGTCAACCAGGAGATGCATCGCGGGGCTCAGATCCTCAAGGAGCGCCGCAAGGCCAAGGAGGAGAGGCTGCTCTCGCGCGGTGGAGGCGGCGGCGGCGGCGGTGCAGGCCCAGGGGGATCCAAGGCGGAGTTGCACAAGAAGATCCAGCAACCGGCCGCCGAGTTGAAGAAGTTCCAGGACAAAGGTGCAGGGGGGGACCAGGCGGCCGGCCGCGGGGCCGGCTGGGGCCAATGACGCGGCCACCTGGTCTCGCGCCCCGCGAGCTGCTGCCCTTGAGCGGCTTCGCGGCGGCGCGAGGCGCCGGCGGCCCCGCTGGGCTGCCGAGAGCGGTGCGCTCGAGAGCGCGCCGCCGCCTGCGCGTCGCGAACTGGATCGCCGACGCGGCCGAGAGCTTGAACGCCTTGTGCGGTCGCGGTGGCGCCCGAGATCATTTTTCCGTTTCAGCTGGGCAGCAGCGCAGCCTGGAATTCACGCAGTCCATCATCGAGCAGGCGGGCCGCCCCGCCCCCCTGCTCACCCGCGGCAGCCCATGCGGAGCTGTGCGGCCACCGGCCCGGCTACGACACCGAGCCCGAGCATCCAGCCCAGTACCGGAGGGAGATCCTCTCCCTGCCGGGGCCAGGCGCGCGCTGCGATCCCAGCGACGTCTTGCGCGGCCTCGAGCACGATCAGCGGGCACATTGGGAGAGACATTTGTTGCGCCGAACGCCTGCGCCAGATCGCGATATCAAGCTGCACATCGATCGCATCCTCATGGCGGGCAGGCGGTGCCATGCTCAGTTCATCCTGGGCCTGCGCACCTCTAGCCTCATCAGAGTCGGGGCTAAGCGCAGTGCCACGGTGGGCGTCTTCTGCGTTTGGAAGAGCGGACGGCAGCGCCTCCGGCTCATCTTCGACACGCGTCGAGTTAAGGCACGTTTTCACGACCCCGATCATTCTCAGTTGCCTAGTGCGGCAGCCTGGGCCGCGCTGCGCACATAGTCGTCCTCTTCCCTTAGCATGGCCCAGGCTGACGTGGACAATGCCTTTTACCGCGTGAAGCTCTCAGACAAGATGGACGAACACTTCTCCTTGCCCAGTGTGCACCTGGGCGCGCTCCGACAGCTGGCCGATGAGGCGGGGATCATCATGGACCTGCCCGAGTCCCGCTTCGGCCCCCCCTCCTGCAGGTCCTACCCATGGGGTTCAGAGAGCTAAAAACTTTCAACACCAGCTGTGAGTGCATATGGGGGGCGGGTTGTTCCTTGCCACGAGACCATCGCCCTGGGTTGCGCTCATTTCGGTTTTTCGACAACCTTCATGCGTGGTTGCGCATATTTCGTTGTTTTTCGTCGCAGGCAGGAACCTTCACCCTTGGTTACACGCATAGTTTTTCAGGGGGTTCACCCAGGGATGCACATCTAGCTTTCCCAGGAACCTTCACCCCAGGTTGCGCGCGCATCTAGGGTTGCGCGTTTTTCGCCCCCCGAGGGGTGGTCGTGGAGCCTTCACTTCTGCCAGAGGCTGCTGGAGACCACCGCGCTGCGGTCAAGGATCGACACTGGGCCTTTGATCAAGACCACCTCCACTCAACCCGGCGTGTATGTTGACAACGTGTGCATTGTCGGCGGCGACGGCGACCGCTGTGTGGCTGACTGTAGCGCCGTCGTCGGCAAGCTGGAGGAGGTCGGCCTGAAGTGCAAGGGCGTGATGGGGCCAGAGGACCTGCAGACCTTCACGGGGATCACCTTCGAGAGACGCAGTGGCCGCATTGGGGTCAGCGCGGCTCGGATGTGGAGAGTTCGCCTCGCGCTGCTTTCCGTGGCAGACCGGCGCTCGGCCACTGGGGGTGAGATCTTCAGCCTGCTCGGACACTTCACTTGGGCCGCCCTGCTGAGGCGGCCGCTTCTTGGTATTTTTCAACAGACCTATGTCTTCGCCCGGGTTGCCGGGCGCCGCCGGCTGCGGCTGTGGAGCCGCGTGGAGCTCGAGCTGCGGCAGGCGGCCGCGCTACTGGTCTTCGCCTTCTCCGATTCAAAGAAGCCCAACAGCACCTTCGCGCGCGCTTCCGACGCATCCAGGGGCCAAGCCGGCTCGGGGGGCGGCTACGGCGTGGTGCGCCAGACATGGGCCAACGAGCTCGTGGAGCACACCGCGGCGTCAGCCGAGTCGTGGCGATATTCGGTGCTGGACGCCATCAGGGCCAGGGAGTGCGCGCTGGGCGTCGACCCGGTCGAGGGGGCCAAGGTCGGCCGGCGCCAGGCGCGCGCTAGCTCCACCAGCTTCGAGGGCGTCGGGCGGGCGGCGATCGGGGACTTCAGTGACTGGGGAGTCCTCTTCCATTGCGAGTTCCAGCGCGATGAGGACATCGCAGTGCTGGAAGGCCGGGCGGCGGCGACGGCCGCGCGGCGCGCTGTGCGAGGGCGCAGCGGGCACGGCCATCGGCATCTCATTTTGGTCGACAACCTCGGGCTTGCCCTCGCGGTTGGGAAAGGGCTTTCTCCCTCCATCACTCTCAATCACGTCTTGCAGCAGCTGTGCGCCATCTCCATTGTCACCGACACCACTTTCATTATCAGATGGATTCCTTCGGAGTGGAACCCCGCGGACAGGCCCTCTCGGCCCAGGCTTCATCGCACGCGGGACGCCCGCGCCGACCCCCAGCATGCTGCGTATTTCGGAGGTGCGGCGGGCGGCCCAAGTGGTCATCAGGCCCGATGGCGGGACGTCGACGCGCTCGCGCGGAGGCGCCACTGCCGCGGCGGCCCGACCCCAGGGCCGCAGCCCGCCGACCTCAGCGGTCCTGGCGCGGCCGGGCTCGGGGACGCACTCCATGACGACCCCTTCCCGCTCGGTGGGCTCGCGGGCCTCTTCGGCGGGCCGGGCGGTGGCGGCGCGGATTCCGACAGATCCTCGACTTCGAGTTCCGAGGTCCTCGGCGACGGGCAGTCCGAGGCCGCCACCAGCGAGGGCCAAGGCCCTCCGCCTGGCCAGGGCGAAGGCTCGCCGGTCAGCCCACAGCGGCGCGTGCGAGCGAGCCCAGGCCGAGGGGCTCGCGGTCTTGCAGAGCCTGAAGGTCGGCAGTGCATGGCGGGTCTACTTCCAGAAGGAGTACCTGGACTTCGCGGGTTGGGCTCGATCGATGGGGGCTTTCGACACTCGGGGCGCGGGCGATCGACTCAAGCTTCGCCCAGTACCTCGATTTCCTGGTCTGGGAGGGCCACAACCACCACGAGGGGGACAAGGCCTTTGCAGCGCTGAAGCATTACAACCCGGGGCTGGGGCTGAGTTCGGCGGCGGCGCTGGAGCGGACCACCTCCGGGCTTCGGGGCTTCCGCAAGCTCGCGAGGGGCTCGACCCAGGCCCCCATGGCGAGGGGGCTGCTGTTCGCGGCCGTGGGCATCGCTCTGCGCCGAGGTTGGCGCAGCTTCGCCGTCGCCCTGGCCCTCACCTGGGACGCGATGATTCGGCTGCCAAGCGAGCTCGTGGCGATGACGCGGGCGACCTTGGTCGCGCCCGCTCCTCGGTCAGGTCGCGCTGTGCGGAGCCTCCTGCTGTGCCCAGAGGAGCTCAACAAGGTCAGCAAGACGCTGGGCTGCGACGAGGGCGTCGTCCTGTCGGACGAGATGTCTTCCGCGCTCGGGTTCGATCTGGCCAGGCTGTTTCGTGCTCGCGCGGACCGCCAGCCGCTCTGGGGCTTCGACGCGACGGCCTTCAACTCGAAGTTCAGGACGGTGTTCGACCAGCTGGGCCACCAGGACTGCCACCCGCACCAAGTGCGCCGCGGCGGGGCCTCGTTCCGCGCGGCGGTGCTGGGCGAGAAGCCGGCGGACATCCAGGCCATGCTGAGGCACCAGTCGGACAATTCGGTGACGAAGAGGCACGCCCAGCACGCCAGGTACTCCGCGGAGGTAGGCAAGCTGAGCCACGATGTCACGCAGTTCGGCCAGGAGGTGGACGCCAAGCTGGCCGACCTGCTGCGGGGCCAGGCGCCGCTGCCGCCGCCGCCGCGGGCTCGCGCGCCGCCCTCCGCTCTGGGCGGTGCTGGCGCGGCGGCGACACCGGTGGTGCGGCCGAGGCCTTGGCCGACGCTGCCGTGCGGCGGCGCTGGCGCGCCGCGCTGCGGGCGGCCCTCGCTGGCCCCCCGAGGTACCAAGTGCACCTGGACCTTCAGTGGCACTGGCAAGGTCGCGCGCTGGCTGGAGCAGAAGTCAGGCTACGCGGTCCTGCGGATCGACGTGGCCGCCCATCCCGCCTTCGACCTCTCGCGGCGTGTGTGCGGCGCCATCGTGACAGGCTGGCTGAGGTCCCGTATCGTGCGAGGCGTCATGTGTGCACCGCCTTGCAGCACTTGGTCCCAGGCCTCGCGACATTTTTTCCGCTCGCCCTATGCCTTGAACGGCCTGCCAGGCCAACAGGACACAGCTGCTGCTAGGCTGCGCATAGGCAATGCCACCTTCCATTTTGCCATGAGAACTGGTCTCGAATGCAAGCGTCTCGGGATCCCTTTCTTGCTCGAGAACCCTCGATCGTCTATGATGTGGTTGCACCCTCGCATGCTGCTCCTCTCCCGCTCCTCCTGTAAAGACGCCAATGTAGATTTCTGTCAGCACGGTACCAGATGGAGAAAAACAGTTCGTTTCCGCGGATGGTGCACTTGCGCCCCGCCCCAGCCCCTGCTGCGCAGATGCCAAGGGCGAGGCGGACTCTGCAGCAATACCCATCTCAAACACATTTCTTTGGAAGGCGGGGGGCCCGGTGGCAAACAATGGACAGCCATCGCCGAGCCGTGCCCCGCCTCTGTCGCCGCTGACGCTGGCCTCTGGATTCACCGCTCTGCCGAGCGTCGTCTGTCTATCCGTCTTGCTAACCTCGTATCCCGCTAATGTGCACCTCCGCCTGCGTTTACGATTTGTGTGGCTGGGATGGCGGCTGCCAGGCATCCAGTATGGTCTATGGGCCTCGTTTTCTGTTAAATGCTCGGCCTCGACCGCAAAGCACCTCGAGGCCGTGTGGAAATTGCCCTCGCTCTCACCAGATCTGCGCCATGGCAAGAAAAAGATCGGGCTGTGCATTGAAACGTTTTCCAAACAGCTGCGCACGCCCTAAATGCAAGCCGCCTGCAGATGGGATGGGCCCTGACGTGTCCGTTCCATCGCCTTCTTTGCTCAAGTCCCCCTCCTCCTCTCCTCCTCCACTGTTATGTGTGTGCGCGCACGTGCCGTTGGGCCTCGTTTTCTGTTGAATGCTCGGCCTCGATCGCGAAGCACTTCGAGGCCGTGTGGAAATTGCCCTCGCTCTCACCAGATCTGCGCTCTGGCACGAAAAAGATCGGGCTGCGTGTGTATATATATATATATATATATATATATATATATATATATATATTGATGTATGTGTGTGAAAGAGCGCTTTCTGTGGTCGCTTGGATGGGGGGGGGTTGGAAACGGACCCCCCCTCCCACTGGATGGAGGGGTGGGGGGGGTCGAGCCCCCCCTGGTTATCCTCTCTCCCTCTCCTCGGGCCGGCGCCTGCGTCGGCGGCGGCTGGCGGCGGCGGCGCGGACGACGATTTCGTTTTGTGGGCCAGCGCCGGCGCCTGCGGCGGCGGGCGGCGGCGGCGGGGGGCGTCGACGAGGACGACGGCGACGACGATGACGATGACGACGACGCTCCGCCACCGTGCCTTGGTTTTGGGTCGGAGTCCTAATGGATGCCTCTTGGGGTCTCGTCGGGGGGTTTTCGGGGGCCTCCCAAGGGCATTTGTGCCTGGGCGCCTCTTGGGCGTCTCTTGGGGCCTCTCTGAGGTGGTGGTGGACGTGGTGGGCTGTGGTGGTGGTGGTGGTGGTTGTGGCGGTGGTGGTGGTGGTTTCGGTGGTGGTGGTGGTGGTGGTGGTGTGGTTTGTGGTGGTGGTGGTGGTTGTTGTGGTGGTTGTGGTGGCAGTTTGTGGTGAAGGTGGCGGTGGCGGTGGTGGTGGTGGTGCGGTGGTTTCTGGTGGTGGTGGTGGTAGTTGTGGTGGCGGTGGGTTAAGGTGGTGGTGTCGGTAGCGGTGGTGGTGTGGTGGTTTGTCGTGGTGGTGGCGGCGGTGGTGGTGGTGGTGGTTTGTTGCGGTGGTTTGTGGTGGTGGTGGTGGTTGTTGGTGGTGGTGCTGCTGTTGTGGTTTGTGGTGGTGGTGGTGGGTTGTGGTGGTGGTGGTGGTTGTGGTGGTGGTGGCGTGGTGGTTTGTTGTGGTGGTGGTGGTTGTGGTGGTGGGTGGTGGTGGTGGTGGTTTGTGGTGTTGTGGTGGTGGTTTGTGGTGGTGGTGGTGGGTTGTGATGGTGGTGGTGGTGGTAGTGGTGTTGAGGTGTTGGTTTGTGGTGGTTTTGGTGGTGGGTTGTGGTGGTGGCGGTGGTTTGTGGAGGTGGTGCTGGTGGTGGTGGTGGCGGTGGTGGTGGTGGTGATGTGGTGGTTTGTGGTGGTGGGGGGGGGTGTGATGCTGGTAATGGTGGTGGTTGTGGCGGTGGTGGTGGTGGTGTGGTCGATTGTGGGGGTGGTGGTAGTGGTGGTGGGTTTTTGTGGTGGTGGTGAGTTGTGGTGGTGGTGGTGGTTGTGGTGGTGGTGTGGCTGTGGTGGTGGTGGTGGTTTTTATGGTAAGTTCTTGGTGGTGGTGCTGGGTTGAGGTGGTGGTGGTGGTGGCGGTCGTGGTGGTGGTGGTAGTGGTGGTAATCGTCGCTGCGTCCCCGCCGTCGGCGCTGCTGGCCGCCGCCAGCGCCCACGCCGGCGCCGGCGCGGGGGGGGTTTGGGACCCCCCCCCCCCCCCTTTGGGCTGCCTCTGGTCATCGTCGCTGCGTCCCCGCCGTCAGCGCTGCTGGCGGCCGCCAGCGCCAGCACCGGCGCTCGCGCCAGGGGGGGGGCGGTTTTGACCCCCCCGCCACCCCTGGGAGGTGGGGGGACGGGGTTTCGGGAGGGGGGATGGGTTAGGGAGGGGAGTCCCCCTGGTTCTGATCGACGGCGCCGAGTGTTGAGGGGGGGCTCACCCCCCGCATGAAAACGCGCCGCCGAATGTTCCCAAGGCGAGCGCCCGTGAAACGCGCTCTCTCTCTCTCTCTCTCTCTCTTTCTCTCTTTTTCCTCTCTCTCTCTCTTTTTTTTTTTTTCTCTCTCTCTCTCTCTCTCCCTCTCTGCGCTCTCTGCGCTCTCTCTCTCTCTCTCTCTCTCTCTCTCTTATACATACATTTATATAGTTATATGTATATATATTTGTATATTTATGTACATATACATACATCTATACATATATATGCTGGCAGGCAGGATGGGACCACCCAGATTGGCCGGCTATCGGCCAGCTAGGTGGCACAGTGGGAGTATATAGTTGACGAATAAGAAACAGGGACTGGAGGGGGATCTAACGGGATCCAGCGGGCCAACGTCCATATAATCGAAGAACGATTAACGGCGTCGGTGTGGATTTACCCCCAGGCCGTCTTTGGGCGCTAAGGCAGCGCGGCGCTTCCAAGTTGCCGAGCTGAAGCTGCGGTGTGCGCCACGCAGTTCCTGACTCCATGACTCCATGGCTCCTCTTCCTCCTCCTCCTCCTCCTCCTCCTCCTCCTCCTCCTCCTCCTCTTGCTCCTCCTCCTCCTGCTCCTCCTCCTGCCCATCTTCGTTGTCCTTCTCTTCCTCCTCCTCCTCTTTCTCCTCCTCCTCCTCTTCCTCCTCCTCCTCCTCCTGCTCATCATCCTCCTGCTCCTCCTGCCTCCTCCTCCTCCTCCTCCTCCTCCTCCTCCCCCTCCTCCTCCTCCTCCTCCTCCTCCTCCTCATCCTCCTCCTCCTCCTCCTCCTGCTCATCATCCTCCTGCTCCTCCTCCTCCCTTTTCTCCTCCCCCTCTTCCTTTTCCTCCTCTTCCTCCTCCTCTTGCTCCTCCTCCTCCACCACCTCTTCCTCCCTCCTATCCCCTTTGTTTTCTTCCTTGTCGTGCTCTCCGAGTGCGCGCTTCCCCTGCTCGGGAGCGCGCGTGTGAGTTGGGGAGAACATGGGGGAGGAGGAGAAGAGAAGAAGGAAGAGGAGGAGGAGGAGGAGGAGGAGGAGGAGGAGGAGGAGAACGGAGCCCGTTGCCATTTTGGCTCAAGTGGGAACAGGTCCCATTTTGAGCGGGCAGCTCTCCTTCCGAGCGATCCAGCGTGTCGTGCGCTGGCGGCACCCCAGTTGTCTGTCTCTTGCTCTGCTGTGAATTATTTCGATTCTTGGGTGCCAACACAGATTCTGTGTCGGCGCAGCATGGCAGGAACCACAGGCTCTTCACCATCGGCTAATCAAGATGGTGCACGTGACAGATCGAGATCGGCGCATGCCGCGTCCCCAGTGCTTGCGGCAAGCGACGTGGCTGAAGGTGAATTTCATGACGCTCGTGATTCTCTTCCTGGCTCTGGCAGCGGTGGCACTGGCAGCCCTGGTCGATCACGTGAATCACAGCCACTCTCTGAGGAGACCGACTTGCGGGCCCACGTTGATGCTACGAGGAGAGAGGTCATGGCAGCCATCGCATCCATCCAGTCCAGTGTCACGGCTCTCTCGCGCACGTTCGCCTCCCACGCTGAGGGCATCGATCGACAGGTTGAGGCTCGTATGCACCGTGTGGAGTCCCGAGTGGAGGACCATGGCAACATATTGCAGTACCTGGAGAAGCAGATTGAGCACCTACAACGACAGCTCCACATTGTCAAGACCGAGCCGCCCCCCCCGAAGATCGAGTTGCCGAATGGCTTCAACCGCCCGACGGATCCCACCATATTGGTTGTGCGATCGAAAGAGATGGTTACTCATCAGGCAGTTTGCGACGCCATCAAGTCTTGGATGCAGGATGCAGCCTTGGACGTGGACGACTTTGAGGTCCAGCGCCCTGAGGAAGGCCCAGCAGCGAAAAGATTCATCATCCAGTTCACGGGTCAGCAGCATCTGGCCTCCAGAGCTCTCCGCCAAGCTATGGGTGCAATCAAGCAGAGAGACAACACGTGGAGACGCTTCTACGCGGCTCTTCCCACGGGTGGCCAAACTGACCTGTTCATCAGCATTGACAAGAACCAGGCCACCATACGTAGAGAGCTCGGTCTCAAACTCATTCGCAGAGAATTTGAAGCTGAATATCCCCAGCACCGATTCTACACTGACAAGGATCGCGGCGAGCTATCTCTCTCGTGGAAGAAGCTGTTGCGATTTACTCCTGCACCGCCTGGTGCTCAGCCTTCTGTGGAGTGGAACATCCCGAACTTGCAGGCTCTGGGCCTTGACAAGCAGAGGCTGGCAGAGAGAGTTTCCAGATGCATGT